TACAGTTCCCCATGTTGTGGTGACCCCCAAGTGGGTGTGGCCACCAATAAGAGGGAGTAGGACAGTTTGGCGACCCCCATGAAATGGTCATTCGACCCCAAATGGGGTCCCGACCCACAGGTTGAGAACCGCTGCACTAAATGAATGGTTGTAAGTTGATGACTAACTGTATACAACCACAGTCTCCAACCTTTCCAGCTTTGTGGACAAATGGTGTGTGTGTGTATGTGTGTGTATGTGAGAAAGAGGAGATGGTTCTGCGCATGCGGCGGGCGAGAGCGCATATGCAGCTCCATTTGCAGTAGCAGTGGGCATGCATGCCTGCCACTCGCAGAAATGGAGTTGCATGGATGCCTTACCCTCCTGCAGTGTGTGCAACTGGAACTGTGCATGCTTCCACAGCCCAGTTCTGAACAGGCCATAGCCTGGTAGTGGGCTGCAATTTTGGGGTTGGGGACCTCTGGTATACAATATATATATGCAACTGAACAATCATCTCAGAGTATTGACTGTGCAATCTTACTTACGCACTTGCAGAAGCTAATTTAATGAGACTTACACACCCTAATAGAAAGTGGTCTCGCTAGTCATGACATTCCAGTGGTTGAAGAGGATTCTAGTCCTGAAAACCTTATGCTCCAGCAAATTTGTTAAGCCTTTTGGATGTCCTGAACGTTTTTATCTCCCAGTACAACAAACCTTTATTCTGGTGAGGATAAACCAAAATGATTTCTTGCTGAAATGAAACATTCAATTGAATGCCAAACTGAAGAACATTTCAGATGCTCAATGTCCTTGATTCCAGTGAACTGTTTATTAGTACACTATCTCACATTGGGCTTGAGGGCTGACATCCAAGAGAGAAACTACATATATGGTATTCCCATTTTTCTCTTCCCAATGTGATCAGGACTGGAAATATTTATGATGTGCTCTATAATAACCCAGGCAGGCTTTAAAATCCCAATAAGCATTTGGCAGCCTGCTGTACTAATTCTCTAAGGAGAATGTGCTGGCCGAGATTTAATGACATTTTAATGCAAACCCTGCAAATAGGAGATTTCCTTCTTAGTTTGGTTCCTCCTTTATTCTTCATTCTATTTATTCTGGAATGGTCTCTAGCGGGAGCAGAGTTTAAAAAACTGGGAGAAAGAAGAAGATGCTGAAGTATTCAGGATCCCAATGTTATCACTGACTCATAAATCACACTTCTTTTTTTGCTAGATTTCTTATACTGTGGCAAGCCCACACACATAAGAGTGAAAGGGAGGAATTTTGTACAACAGTACACACGTATTACAACATCATCTTAACACTTGGAGTATCCTAATTACTAAAGTAATGGTTTCAACCTCAATGATCACCTTATTGCTTATCTCATCTTAACACAAAATTCCCTTGCCTGAAGCAGAATTCAAATGCTCCTTTTCCTACTAGATTCTGCAATCCTTTATTTTCAAAATCTTGCTGAACCATTCAGATAACAATTCTAGCCTTTCTCACATTGCTGTCTGAAACTGGTCACTCATCCTTGTTTGTACTATTTTGCTTCCCTACAAATCCTGCTGAAATTTCCTATATTCAAATTTTCTAAGTGTGGACACTGAAGCTTGAAGCTTTAGTTCTTAAACTGAGGCAGGCAGGTTTCAGGTTTGGAAAATCTTTTTTTCCCCTTTTTTAGAGAATACCAAGACATCCATGCTCTGAATCCAAGTGCAAGCTAAATTATTAAGAACACGCTCAGCCAAAATTCTGTGATCAGTCCCAGAAGCAAGTCCACAAGTCTTCTTTTTTGGAAAAAAAAAAAAAATCCTGATTCTCTGGTATCATCACTCTACCTGAGGCATTGTTATGGCAACCAAATTCATGATCAGTGGCAGGGAGACCTATTAGTTTATTAGCTATTACTGTTGTAGGAGCAATGCAATCAACTGAAATTTTACCCATCTACCGTAAATCACTCAAACCTCTATCCATCTATGTCCCACTTTTATCAGACACATCGAGTTCACAATACACTCCGTCTATACACTCCATCTGTAATCTCAGAAACTCAAGTCTCAGAAACTCAAGACAACATCACCTAGAGCAGTGGTTCTCAACCTTTTTAATGCCGTGACCCCCAACCGGTCATAAGTCGAGGACTACTCAACTGGTGCAGCAGCGTTTGCAGAATGGGACTTTTGGTGGGCTCAGCAGGGCAGAGACAGCCTGGACAATTCCTATTGGCTTTTGAAAGCCAATAGAATTAGACTCTATTCAAGAGAGTCTATTCTATTGGCTTTCAAAAGCCAATAGAATAAAAGGGAGTAGCACAGCTAAGGAAAAGGGGAAAAAAAATGGCGGACTGCGTTGTTTGGCGACCCCCATGAAATGGTCGTTCGACCCCAAATGGGGTCCCGACCCACAGGTTGAGAACCACTGACCTAGAGTGAGTGACTTTGAAGTCAGAAAACTGGTGATCTGAAAATACTTTTTAAAAAAAGAACTCATTTATTTGTGTTCCAATTGTAAAAAAAAATGTAATCAATAAATCTGATAGCAGCCCACATAATAGACTGTAGATCAAGTAGGGTCTCAGACCCATTTCTACTTTTCAAGAGAAAAAGTCATCCAAATTTCATAAATGGATGGCACCATCTACAGACACAGGTCTGTAGAAGAGAGTAGGTCTCTAAGGGAAACACATTCATTGTCTTGGATGCCAAGGTAAAAACATGTACAAAAATGTGGGGGGGGGGAATCAAAAGGATAATTAGCTACAAATGTAAGAATCACTAGCCACTATAAAACACTAAGCTATATACTATGAAAAAAACTCATTCTTTGAGTCTGCATCCTTAAAAAATCAAGGCAAGCATCTTCCATGCTTAAAAAAAAGATTATGGAAGGCTTGGAAGAATCTGAAGGTTTAGAGCAGGGGTAGGCAACCTTGGCTCTTTTATGAATTCTGGGAGTTGAAGTCCACGAGTCATAAAAGAGCCAAGGTTGCCTACCCCTGGTTTAGAGAAATAGAAGCATAAGAAAAAGAATTGCATAAGTGCTGGGAACAATCCAGCCTGAACTGAATATTACAAGGGGCCATAGAATTTATTTACATCCCACTTTTATTATTTCATAAATAATTCATGGCAGCAAACATATATATTACTCCTTCATCCTACTAGTTTACCAGCAAACAACAACCCTTTGAGATGGATAGAGCTGAAAGAGTGTGACTGGCCCAAAGTTACTCAGCCAGTTTTCATGCCTAAGACAGGATTACAACTCAAGGTCTCCCAGTTTCTAGCCTGGAGCTTTAACCATTAGACCAAGCTGGCAAAGAGAAGAAAAAAATGCAATATCTAGAACAACACAAGGCTGGCCAGCAAGCCAGTCCTGAACCAGATTTTTCAACATTACAATATTTTGTTAATTCTCTACACACTACGCTAGTAAACTGTTTTGAAATGCAACCTGATATATTCCTAAATAAAGTATTATTGAAAAGCAGCTCCTGGTCCAGCATGTGTCATAGTCTAGCTGCTATCAGGGGAAAACAAATATAGAAAGAGAAGATAACATCTTGCTGTCCCATTTGTGCGTCTCTAGAATTCCTTGGCTGTTGGAATCTAGTACAAAAGAGTCTACACAAAGATTGTTCAAATAACTCATAGTGATATACTTATTGGTTGCCTTGAGGTCTCACCCCTGTATCTTTCTCCCCCCCCCCAATCGAATTTGGGAACACCAACACCAGCCTCCCTTATGTAAAGTTATTTTAAAGGTAGGAGGGAAATATAGAAAGCACAAGAGTCTCTCATTACCACCACCCCCTGCCTGTGAATTCAGCAGTTAAGTCTCATTGTTCAAGTTCCTACCCAGGACAGCAGCCTAGAAGAAAAAACTCAGAATTAGATACACAGGAGCACTTTTAGAGGAGAAAACCACTCAAACCGAAATGAGATGACACGGCTGCTGTTATTCCAAAGGCGATGCCAGCAGAGCACCTGGTCCCTAGGATGAAATCATCTTCAAGGTAATGGGCCGCGGATTTTACATACACATACACAAACCCCACTCAGAAATATGGTATTTGTAAGTCACGAGCGGGCTCCCCGCGCGACTGCAAGAGCGGATCGTCACTCGGTGCACTGGCCTCCATCCTTCCCCAGTCAAGTGCAGCCACCCACGAGCCAAGCGAACCCGAGCAGGGGAAGTCAAACTCCCCTGCGGGAAAGAAGGGCGGGGGGGGGGGGAATAACGCACCTCCCCTTCCAACCCTTCGGATGCTTTCCAAGGAGGCGGCGTATTGCGGCCACAACCGCGCCAGAGATCGGGGCTCAGCTGTGGGCGGGCGGGCGAGCTCCTCCGAGTCACGACTCACAGTGACCCAACGGCTGAAAGTCCTCGGAGGAGAACGAACACCCCCGCGGGACCTGCCCGCCTTCCCCCGAGGCGACGCCGACAGCAGGCTAGGCAGGGGAAAGGTTCTGGAGCAGACCCGGGATGGCGACCTTCATAGGGTCGCGTTCGCACGTTTTATTTCGCCCCCTTGCAAGACACGGAGCTAACCGATTGCATTCAGGGAAAGGGGGATAAGCGGCGGGGAGAGAAACCTAAAGGGAAGGCAGAACGGGAAGAGGAAGGGGGGACACGAGCAACACCTGGGAAACCCCCCAAAGCCATCTTTTTCTTTAACAGATTGCAGCGCCAGCCTTTATCAAAGGGAATCCCGCTGGTCTCGGTGGGGCTTGCTCCCAAGTAAATCCGCCACAGCTTCCAGGTTCTGGGCTGCAGGACGACCAGCCTAGGCGTGGGAAAAGGTTGCAATTAACTGACCTGACTTCCGAGGAAAGGAGCAACGGAGGGTCATCCACCTGCAAGGGTCGGGCAGGGAGGGAGGGAAGGAAACCGCGCAAGCCTGCCTCCCCCGCCCCATTTGCCTAAGGAGGGAGCCGGCTTTCCATTCCCCCCGGTCGGCGATTCTGCACTGGGGAACGCGGCGTCGGAGCTCTCACCTTCTTGCCCTCCGAAGCGGCGGAACGCCGATTCCCTCCTGTCACAGAGGAAGAGCGCCCCTGGCCGATGTGATCCTGTTGCGGGGACATCGCTTCCATTAGATTCCCCTTGATCGCCGCGCTGCTCAAACAGCCCAAAGCAAGCCTGAGGTCATCCCAGGCTGGTCCTCGATCTTGGGCAAAAGGCGGCAGCCCTTCCCGGAGCCTCTCCGGACGGCTCGCATGGAAAATTAAGACAGCAGCGCAACCAAGAAGCGCGCAAAAAGTGCTGCCGCCGCCGCCACCACAGAAACGGCCAGCGGCAAGAGCGGATTCAGCGCAACGAGAAGCAAAGCGAGTGCGGCAGATAGCGGCACGGCTGGCCCCGCCCACCCCGAAGCCAACACTATCCAAGTTTTGCGGCGAGGCTCCACCCAGAAATGGAAGCCGAGGCACAAGCCCCACCCCTTCTCCTGCGGCGGGGACTCTAGCCCAGCCGGCTTGCTTTGTAGCCCCGCCTCTTATTTTAATCATACCGTTAGCCCCGCCCACAAGCGAGACTGCAGAATTCCGAGGGGGGGGGTGGGCGCGGCCGTCAGTTTGAGTTTTGTTTTTCAGAGGAAACGAGGGGATGTTATTTTAATATTCATATTATTATATTTTTATCCTTGATTATCGAGTATTTGGACTTCCTGGACTGCGACCGAAGCCCTTTGCAAATTAAAAAACTATTCTTATCATTTGATCTCAATATTACTAAAACAACCGCTCTCCCATAATCCCTTCCTCCTCCGCCCCCTAACCGGGCACGTTTTTTAAATTAATATATTCTTGTACCATAGATCGAATTGATTAAGAAGGAACGTCAATCGTGTTTCACGTGGAATCAATCAAAACAGTCAAAATATTTAGTCAGACTCCTTGAAATTGCTAAGGGCACAAGGATAAAAGTTCGTTGAAACGTTGGCAACCCTGATTGTGAAACTGAAGTGGAGAAGGCAACCAGGAACAAGCCAGATCTTGTTATCAGCTTCCCGAGAAGGCCGTTTAACTCGAGTCACTGGGTCTTACTCCAAACAAATACAATATGCTTTGAATCGTAGATCTGCTCCAGTTCAAGACAGGAGAGAAAAAAGATGCTTCCAGGCAAAGCATTTATTGAATGCCTTGCCACATCCATACAACCCTATAATAATAGGTCTGGAGTTGTATTTTCAGGCAAAGCTTTTAGAAATTTTACTCTTCCTCTGTTTGGCATTTTATGACAGATGCAAAGAACAAATATACTGTAACTCATACTTTCTTACCATTCCTTCAGCCATTTTCTTTAAAAGAAGGAACAGCTCAGCTACTTTTAATTTTGAATTAAAGCTCTGAGGAAAAATGGCTAGATCCATGTCCAGAAGCTAAAACCCAATCACGTTATCGTACGGCTTAATATAATGTGGAGAATTGACCACAGATATTACTTTGATGGTGCTAGGAAGCATTAGGCTAGAATCGAGGGATGTCCTCGGGATATGGTCGAAACAGTCAAAATGATGCCCACAACATTAAATTGAATTTCTGCACATTTTGCAATACCGATAAAAAGTTGAAATTTGATCACACCATTGTAGCCTCCATCTTGACTATTTTATATGGTAATGGAAATCACCTGGACTTGACTGCTTTATGAAATTGTTTCTTGCAGCATATTGAACCATGAACTAGAAGGATTTATACAACATGCTAGACCAAAGCGTAGCAAGTTTGTGATTCTTCTGGGAGATATCTGTATGTGCTTTGTACCTAAGGTAGGACTAAAACTTCAAAGTTTCCTGCTTACTTGCTTGATGCCTTAACCACAATACCAAACTGACTCTTGTCTGTGTGTATGTATATTATGATTCCTGTCTAGCCTACAGCTTTGAGATTTCTCAAATAAATCGCCTAAAATCATATATCTCAACAAAGTGTAGTGAGTGTTTAAGGTAAAATAAAGAAGTTGCCACAAAAGCAAATAAAATGGAAAAATATATTGACCAGATTTACATATAATGTAATTTATTTTGTTTGGATAAAATTTGATGTGCAAATCTAGCCATTGTGGCTTGCAAGTCATGGTTTCTTGCTTGTGAGTCAGATAAACCCATCCAGTTATAGTTTATTCAATAAAACATGGTTAAATAAATTGTAATTATGAGTCAGTCAAACTTGGGTGATTATAACAAATTTGAATAAATAAAGTCATAAAGGTCCTTTCACCAATGACAAATCAGAATTTATATGTTAGTATGTAAAATAAACTTAGTCTGCCATTCCTGGTATTTTTCATGGAAATACTTCAACACTATTGATTAGAATGTACTTTCAGTTTAAAGTTGTCATCTTTTTTTTTAAAAAAAAATCCACATTCACACTATTAGTACAAATAAAGATGTTGATGCTGTATGAAGATTGTTGGCTGGATTGTTAGTTTTGCAGTGTGATACTGCATTCTGCAGAATTACAGAAAATAAGGGGCATCTTTTAAGCTCCCCAAGACTTGTGATGTGAGGAGAGAGAAAATGCTTTTTTAAGAATAGGAAACATCTGTAATGCTGCGTGGGAGACCAGAAAGAGAAGTAGAGCCAGAAATGTTAAGTTTATATTCTTATTTGTCTTATCTTTCTCGCATTCAAACTCACTGCTGATTTAAGGGAATATTAGATCTCATTTAAAGCAATTTTAGCTGAGTTTTCAAGTTAACATTCTCGTACTGTGACAGCAGGCAGATTGTGCATACCTTTGTACTCCTTGCTATTATTCTTATTATGTATATTTTAGCCTATCTTTCAACTTGGAAGAAACTTAATTTTTTTTCCATAAGTTTTCTGAAATCAAAAAGAGTTCATGCTGAACTTGTAATTCTCTAAAAAGACAATAGGATAACCAAGTGACACCCATGTAATACCTTCTGCACAATGTTTTTGGACATACATAGTGTTTTCTACTGTGATGACCAAATTTATGCTGCTTATCAAGTGTTTTATACCCACCAGGTGATTTTTCAAATAGGGATTACATAATTTTAAAATGTAAGCATATTAAAATGACCAGATGTTCAAAAAAAAAAAAAAAACCCATGAGAGTCAAGATGATGTAGCTATTAAAGCAGGGGTCATAAAAGGGCCAAGTTTGAATACCCCTATATTAAGGTGTTGAACTAGGAACAGGACCTCAAACTCTAGTTTACCATCAGCTCTGGAAACTCACTGAGTGACTTTTTAATTAAATTAATTTTCTGTCAGCCCAACCTATCGCATTGGTTTGTTGTTGTTGGGAAAAATAGCTCCATACTGATTTTAAATACAAGTGCATATTCAGTATTTCTATGGCAATATTTGGTTTTGTTCCACCAATATGGTTGCATGTCATAAAAATAGTGATAAAGTTATTCTTTTTTAAACTGCTAAATATTGTAATCTGTACCTGACCACATCCCTTCCACAGAATTAAAAATATTGAAAAACCTGTACTTTAGGGGGAAAAATAACCTCCAGTATCTATCTACAAGTTTTAATGAAGTCATTTTCTGATAGCTGTATGTAGAATTGCAATTCCTTTCCTAGACGCTTGCTAATGTATTTCTAGCCCTGATTGGCAAGTACTTAATTATTTTTCCTTGTCAAAAATAGAGAGCACTCTAAGATTAAAAAGAATAGAGATGTAAAACAACAATTAAAACAGTACTTCTAAAATCTTTTTGTAGAATCATTAACAATAGAGCTTAGATTTGAGGGAACTATTTAAACCAGTGGTTCTCAACCTTTTTAATGCCGCGACCCCCAACCGGTCGTAAGTCGAGGACTACTCAACCGGTTGTAAGTCAAGGACTACTCAATTGGTGCAGCACCATTTGCAGAATGGGACTTTTGGTGGGCTCAGCAGGGCAGAGACAGCCTGGACAATTCCTATTGGCTTTTGAAAGCCAATAGAATTAGACTCTATTCAAGAGAGTCTATTCTACTGGCTTTCAAAAGCCAATAGAATAAAAGGGAGTAGCACAGCTAAGGAAAAGGGGAAAAAATGGCGGACTGCATTGTTTGGCGAACCCCATGAAATGGTCGTTTGACCCCAAATGGGGTCCCGACCACAGGTTGAGAACCACTGATTTAAACTATTTAAAATTTGATGTGAGGAGCCTTTACCTAGGTTCAGGTTTTGTTTTGAACATCAATATAAAATGGGTTTCAGAATCCCTCTAATATATCTTTCTGAACCTTGGCAACTTTAAGATAGATGGATGTCATCTGCCAGAATTCTCCTACATGCTGGCTGGGGATTTCTGGAAGTTGAAGTCCACCCATCTTAGAGTTGCTAAGGTTATAAAAAAAAGGTTCAATATAACAATTATCAGTTAAACCCAAATTGCTACTGTGATGATTATGATAAGGTATATTTCATGAACCATTTTGTTATAATTATTTGTAAGGACCCACCCCACTTTGCATCTTAAGAAGACAGAACTCTTGGAATAATTCTTCCAACAGGAATCCTTTATTAAGAGAAAATGGTTGCAGGCGTTCTAGACAGGACTTGGGGTCCAAGCTCTCCCATTCAAGGTTTTAAGGGGTTTCCCAGTAGCCCCACCCAGTCCCCCCCTACTTCCAGCAACGGTCTCAGGCATTACATTTCCCACCCCTTTTCCTTTGTGCTGGGTGGATGGAGACTTCAGAGAAAACTACATAAAAGGTAATAGCCTCCTTTGTTATGATAAGGCCTTTTGGTGCTATCCACATTCAATCCCTTTGAAGTTGTACTGAAGGAAGTAAGGGCCAAAAAGCCCCTTTGTTCACCCCCCTCCCTTCCTTGTATGACAGAATCCAGAGAGGCAGAAATGGGGTTTTCTATAATTGATAACTAGAGATGAAGTATAATTGGATTCTGACATTATTATAAAATGAGATTCAAGATACCTTACAATCCTCATCACAAAAACCAGGCTTATTTTTGCTGGTCAGCTGTAAAAAGGAGGGAATTATGACAAAACTTGTTGACATTGCAAGACCCTGTGCTTATTTATATTTTGCCAACCTAAGAAGAAGCAAGGCTCCTTCTCCAACACAAAGTGAAGGACATACCTATATGGTTTGAACATTTACATTAAGAAAAAATCACTTATAGAATATCCCTCCTTCTTAAAACTGTTGCTGATCCAAAGGAATTAAGTGAATCAGTGACTGGTACATTCTAAAGGTATCAGGTTGGCCTGATTGAGGATATTGAGACAAGGAAACTATGATTGACTTCCATACCAGAAAAAAAAAACATTTGCCTTCTTTTGGGTGTAGAATTCAGAAGCCCTTAGTTTTGCAGAGAAGAAATTAAGACAAACATGAATGCTTCCCATTTTA